AACAGGAACAGGAACAGGAACAAGAACAGGAACAAGAACAAGAACAAGAACAGGGACAGGAACAGGAACTACGGGAACTTTATATCAGTGTTCACCTAAAAATAAATAAATGTTGTGGAATTAATAAAACACACTCTACATGAAAACACTTGTTTCTGATGAATGAATGTTGGTATTGATATGATGATCGGTTGGTATTGATATGATGATCGGTCGGTATTGAACACTCAGTCGGTGGTACCTCTGAACTTCTTTGGAGGATTCTCCAAATCTCCAGCAGCTGGTTCGACCACACATCTGTCATCCACCAACCTGCGGACACACAACGTGAAACGTGTCATCAATAACAATATGTTATTCATAACGAGTTTGGGGTTAATTAACAGATTCATCCAGTGTATATGTTCGGCCGTGCATCAGGCTGCAGCTGTCACTGATGCAGACGAATAATAAAGTAGAACAGAATGTAATAAAACCAGTTCAATCAACCAATAAAACATTTCTATGTCACTGTGCAGCTGTTCACAGACAAACACCTTAATGTGACGTTTATGTTCAGGCTCATCCGTCAGGCGTCGTTCTCACAGAACTGAAGTGAAACTAGAGTGAAGCTGATGCTTTGAAGCAACTTGTTCATTTGTTAAAGCAGCAGCAGTTCAGGAAGCGACGCTCTGCAGCCGCGAGAAGTTCGCCGTGACTCCGACTATTTTTAGAGTCTTTGTGTTCAGACTCACGCTGCTGAGAAGCTGAAGTCACGCTGCTGCAGATTAAACCAGAACAGCACGTCAGCAATATGTTCGTACAATCCTGGAAACAATCAGACACCTCAAGAAAACCCAACACATTCTGACATAAAGTGAAAAAGAACATTTCACTCATCTGCCAGCTTGTTATCTTCTTTGGACTAGCGAACCAGATATCTATCGTTAGCTTGTTGAGCTAAAGCTATCTTACTTAGGCTAAGGTAGCACCTTATGTTAACTTGTTTAGGCTAATGTTACCCTGTTGAGGCTAACATTTTTTAGGCTAAATAAGCAGCAGACCTAATTTTGTTTAGACTAATGCTATCTTGCTTCAATTAATGTTAGCTTATTTAGGCTAAGTTAGCAGAAAACTTTATTTTGTTTAGACACATGTTACCTTGTCAGACTAACATAGTGAAAAGTATTTTCTTGTTTGTAGGCTAATGTAGCAGCTAAGTGTATCTTACTTAGGCTAACAGCAGTATGTTTTCTGGTTTAGAGCAACACAGTGATTAAAGTTATCTTATTCAGGCTAATGTAGCAGCTAATACTGTTTGTTTAGACTCACATGATGTTGTTTATGCTAACATAGCAGCTAACTTTATCTTGTTTATGCTAATGTAGTGATAATGTGCAATATTTTGTGCGTATGTGTTGCAGTTTTTCAAATACAGACTTTCGATGTTCGAAGACACTTCACTGGTTTATTTTCATGTTATCAGGTCTGCTGGTTTCATGTGAACTCTGTCAGAAGCAGCGGTCAGAACAACAGCAGCTCGCTCACACACAGAAGCTTTCTATAACCAAATACAGCTCCATCCCTCAGCTCGCTCTCGTCTCTTTTTGGTGGTTTCTGTGGTAAATATGTCTATTTAAGGACCCGACGGTGGTTCCTGAGCAGCCACATGTCTGGTCATCAGAGGGAATCTGTGCTCGTCGCTGTTGAGGAAACAGGAGCTTCAGCAGACACACACACACAGTTTCCATCACTTCTGAGGACACAACACTGACTCACACTCATCTCCTGCAGACTGGTTCTAACCCCAAACAGAACTTTAAGCCCAGTCTTCATACTCTGACTCAACGGTAATTACCTTAAGGGGACTTTCTCTATTCAGGCAGGTCCTCACAGGTACATATAAACAACATGAGTAAGACCAGCACACACACACACACACACACACACACACACACACACACAGCAGCAGACAGCCAGGTGTGTGTCTGTGTCACACTAAAGACTCGTTCAGCGCTTTGAGGAACTCTTGTTGGTCCTCATTAAGCCATGAAGACACTCTGGCTGGTTTTCTTCTGAACTTCAGCAGGAACCTAAAGTCTACCTGGAGCTTATGCAGCGGATTTGTACTGAGTGTCCACAATGTTTCTCCATCTTTTCACAATAAGAGTCTTAGTGTGAACATGTGCAGACGCTTCAGGAGGACTCGTATTGACTCGGTGTTGCTGGGACCTGAACTACCTGAACGGCTGAGATGAGTCCACGCATTAGTTAAATCAGAAGTTTGCATTTAAGCCAAAACCACAACCTGTAAACAAATGAGATGTTTGCAGACGACAGCCCATAAACCTGAGTCACTGTGGTCATTTAGTGATTTAACATGTTGCAGCCGGTAAATAAAAGCTTCACTCATTTGTTTAAATCCGTGATCTTTTTATTACGACTCAATAAGGACGTTCTCAGCATTTGTTCCTTGTTGTGGTCCAATCTGAGCCATTCTATGTCTGCTATCTGCCCATTACTGACAACACGTCTAAAGATAACACACACTTCATGTACCATAGACCAGCTGCAGTACCTGGGTGTTCCACCAGGTGGAGCCTCTCCCTGTTTAATCCTGTGGCGGCCAGAGGAGGCGCCACTCAGACTACAGCTCGTGGTGCTTTAACAAACAGCAGAATTTGTTTGGCTATTAAATAAACAACTCTTTCTGAATTAGCACAAACTGCTGACTGCAGTTAGCTAAAGGTGCTAACTATGCTAACAGAGAGTAAGCTAGTTTGCCAGGCATGTTTGCTGCAGATGGACAGAACTGGTTGGATTTATGTTCTAATGTTTTGATTTTTAAACTCAGTTTCACTCTAAAGTAAAAATAAATAAATAAATGAGCACAAACCTGCGTTAGCTTGTTAGCTTGCTAGCTTGTTAGCTGGATGTGTTGGTAGCTCACATCGGAGCAGATAAACCTTTTCTTTTCATTCTGTCTTTTCATTCAACACATTCTTTCTGCTTTTACTTTTTCCTGAACCGTCTCCCCTCCCTCTTTACCCCCAGCCAGCCCACCATCGCTATGACAACAGCCAATCAGTTCTTTTGTCTGCCTGCCAGGTGTGTCCAGGTGTGTCCAGGTGTCTTTCAGGACCCTGATTGCTACATTCACTCTCACTCAGGTGTGCTGCCTCGGTGGCCGACAGGTGAGCCTGAAACTCAAACAAACAGCGTTCTGCTGAACTCGTTTAAAGTGAACATGTATAGAACAGCAGTGAGCGTGATGCTGGTTTACTGTGACGTGGAAACGCAGCAGCGACTGTCCAGTCTCCTGAAAACACACTTTAAAGATCTGCATGCAGATGATGTAAAAACTTCTATACAGGTTGAAACAACAGTTTAATCGACTATGACT